TGCACTATAAATATTAGACTGACTCTCTCCCTGCACCATATAGATATTATGCTGTCTCTCCACATGCACCATACTGTCTCTGCCCCACTCTCTGTGCATCAGACTGTCTCTGCCCCACTCTCTGTGCATCAGACTGTCTCTCTCCATGCACTGTATAGATATCAGACTGTCTCTCTGATGCACTGTATGGATATCAGACTGTCTCTCTCCATGCACTGTATAGATATCAGACTGTCTCTCTCCATGCACTGTATAGATCTCAGACTGTCTCTCTCATGCACTGTATGGATCTCAGACTGTCTCTCTCCTGCACTGTATAGATATCAGACTGTCTCTCTCCTGCACTGTATAGATCTCAGACTGTCTCTCTCCATGCACTGTATGGATCTCAGACTGTCTCTCTCCATGCACTGTATGGATATCAGACTGTCTCTCTCCATGCACTGTATAGATCTCAGACTGTCTCTCTCCATGCACTGTATGGATATCAGACTGTCTCTCTCCATGCAATGTATAGATATCAGACTGTCTCTCTCCATGCACTGTATGGATATCAGACTGTCTCTCTCCATGCACTGTATGGATATCAGACTGTCTCTCTCCATGCACTGTATGGATATCAGACTGTCTCTCTCCATGCACTGTATGGATATCAGACTGTCTCTCTCCATGCACTGTATAGATCTCAGACTGTCTCTCTCCATGCACTGTATAGATCTCAGACTGTCTCTCTCATGCACTGTATGGATATCAGACTGTCTCTCTCCTGCACTGTATAGATATCAGACTGTCTCTCTCCATGCACTGTATGGATATCAGACTGTCTCTCTCCATGCACTGTATGGATATCAGACTGTCTCTCTCCATGCACTGTATGGATATCAGACTGTCTCTCTCCATGCACTGTATGGATATCAGACTGTCTCTCTCCATGCACTGTATGGATATCAGACTGTCTCTCTCCATGCACTGTATGGATATCAGACTGTCTCTCTCCATGCACTGTATAGATCTCAGACTGTCTCTCTCCATGCACTGTATAGATCTCAGACTGTCTCTCTCCATGCACTGTATAGATCTCAGACTGTCTCTCTCCATGCACTGTATAGATATCAGACTGTCTCTCTCCATGCACTGTATGGATATCAGACTGTCTCTCTCCATGCACTGTATGGATCTCAGACTGTCTCTCTCCATGCACTGTATGGATCTCAGACTGTCTCTCTCCATGCACTGTATAGATCTCAGACTGTCTCTCTCCATGCACTGTATAGATCTCAGACTGTCTCTCGCCCTTGCAGTGTGTATATGACAGGTTGCTCCCTGTCATGGTCAGGTTACCTTTCCTTGCTCTTCCTGCAGCCTGAACACCTCCTGCTGACTTAGCAGTTTCCGTTCCCCCGCTGTCCTCTCCATGCTGTGTGCTCCCAAGATCCTCTGCCAGTCCTGTCCGCCCCTCTCCTAGCCTCACACTGCAAGTTACGCACAGACATGGAGTGACGTCACGATCCCGCGAGAACTCAGCTTCGCAGTCTCACGTGGAACCGAGGCACGTGTGTAAGGATGAAGGGGGATGATACCAAACATAGCAACTGCTGCTTAGCAACTGCCACTCCCCCCTGAGCATAGCAACCAGCTCATTCTGCTGTCTGGAAACAACTCTGCAATGACTACCACGGCATCGATCTAAATGACAACCACTGCACCTAGCTCCATAACAACCACTGCATCCAGCTCCATGGCAACCTCTGCATCCTGCTCCACGGCAACCTCTGCATCCAGCTCCATAACAACCACTGCATCTATCTAAATGACAATCACTGCATCCAGCTCCATAACAACCACTGCATCCAGCTCCATAACAACCACTGCATCTATCTAAATGGCAACCACTGCATCTAGCTCCACGGCAACCACTGCATCCAGCTCCATAACAACCACTGCATCTATCTAAATGACAACCACTGCATCTAGCTCCACGGCAACCACTGCATCCAGCTCCATAACAACCACTCCATCTATCTAAATGGCAACCACTGCATCTAGCTCCATGGCAACCACTGCATCCAGCTCCATAACAACCACTGCATCTATCTAAATGACAATCACTGCATCCAGCTCCATAACAACCACTGCATCTATCTAAATGACAACCACTGCATCCAGCTCCACGGCAACCACTGCATCCAGCTCCACGGCAACCACTGCATCCAGCTCCATAACAACCACTGCATCTATCTAAATGACAATCACTGCATCCAGCTCCATAACAACCACTGCATCTATCTAAATGACAACCACTGCATCCAGCTCCACGGCAACCACTGCATCCAGCTCCACGGCAACCACTGCATCCAGCTCCACGGCAACCACTGCATCCACCTCCACGGCAACCACTGCATCCACCTCCACGGCAACCATTGCATCCAGCTCCACTACAACCACTGCATTTAACTTCATGGCAACCACTACATCCTGCTCCATGGCAAATACTGTAACCTGCTCCATGGAAACTACTGCATCTAGATCATGGCAACCACTGCATACATCTAAATGGCAACCTCTGTATCCAACTCCAAGACAACCTATGCAGCCTGCTCAATGGGAACTACTGAATCTAACTCCATGACTGCTATTTCACCCAACTCCATGACAACTACTGCCTATACCTCAATGATAATTTCTGCATACAGCTAAATAACAACCACTCCCATCAACACCATGACAATCATTGCATCCAACTCCATGACAACCACTCCCACTAACCTCATGTCAACAACTACATTTAACACAATTACAAACACTGGCTCCAGTTTAATGACAGCCACAGCCACCAACTCCATGACAGCCACTGCCACTAGCAGGCAGAAATTTTAGGCTGCCTTACGTTTCCATTTTTCTGATGATTATATATAATATAGAATGGAGGAGAAGAGTGTAAGACACAGTGACTGGAGTCTAGTGGACACTCTGCCAACAGGTCATCTGAAGCTGTTGCATGCTGCACCCTGCAGGACCCTGACAGACAGACCCAGCTCAGAGCAGGTACAGCCATTTGAAGTCTGAGACATTCAGATTTGAATGCGGTAGAGGGTAAAAATGGCAGGGGCACTACACACAGTGTTCTTCACGGAGTAGTCTGGTGGACCTTTAACTAAACGAGTTTAGTCGTTTCCTAGTGAATTTACAGCAGTTATTCTCCAAATCATGATAAAAAAGGAGTTCCTTTAAAGAGAGTAATTCTACTGTGGGTAATACTATTTTGTATTGTGTGCTCTCACCATATTTTATTTATTTATCACTTGTGTAATTTCAGTGGTTATTGTGGCCCACTAAGGTGATAGCAGCACCAGTATTTGTTCAAATTATTTTACACCGTACGTTTTGTATTTGATGTATTGAGATGTCTGTTGGGAAAGTACAGTATGTCACGGACAACTTCCCCAACAAGTAAACAATAAGGCAACTAGTACCCTATACGGAGCTAGAACATATTACCGGACCTTAGAGTGGCTGGGCTAAACGCATACGATAAGTATAAAATAGTCTATAGAGAGACAAGAATAAACAGACACAGGTCAAGATATAGCAGCAAGTGAGATTTCTGGCGCTTGTTCCTTATGTGTACAGCAGCTAAAACTTTCCCAAACCAGAGTCTATTCTTTCTGGTCGTTGATACAAGTAAAACGGGGGATGTAGGGAAGCAACGCTTAACAATTGAGTTCCTTGTGTGGGGTCCAATGGAGCCAATATAAGAGAGAAAACAAAATGGGACAGGAATACTTATATAGTGTAGTATGTCTATAACAGCAGAGGCAGAATATAAGGAAAAAATATATTGCACTCACACTTTTCTGGAGCTCCAGATCACAGCGTATGGACGGTACAATCTGTCTGTGGAAGTATCCGAATGTCCGAATTGCCCGAAATTCGTTCTAATTAAAGGACCACTCTAGGCACCCAGACCACTTCAGCTTAATGAAGTGGTCTGGGTGCCAGGTCCAGCTAGGGTTAACCCATTTTTTAATAAACATAGCAGTTTCAGAGAAACTGCTATGTTTATTAATGGGTTAAGCCTTCCCCCTAATCCTCTAGTGGCTGTCTCATTGACAGCCACTAGAGGCGCTTGCGTGCTTCTCACTGTGATTTTCACAGTGAGAGCACGCCAGCGTCCATAGGAAAGCATTATGAATGCTTTCCTATGTGACCGGCTGAATGCGCGCGCAGCTCTTGCCGCGCGTGCGCATTCAGCCGGCGGGGCGGAGAGGAGGAGGAGGAGAGCTCTCCGCCCAGCGCTGGAAAAAGGTAAGTTTTAACCCCTTTCCCCCTTCCAGAGCCGGGCGGGAGGAGGTCCCTGAGGGTGGGGGCACCCTCAGGGCACTATAGTGCCAGGAAAACGAGTATGTTTTCCTGGCACTATAGTGGTCCTTTAACATTCGGAACAAAACGAATTGCACATGTCTAACGTAGATTGGTTAGACTCCCACATATGACGTGGGTCATGAAGTGCATATAGGGAACCAGTTCTAGAGCATTCCACATTATTAACAACACCAGAATGACGTTAGGGGTCATTACAATGACTTCCCCAATCCTGTCACTCACCCATGCTATAATCACCTCCCATTGCTCTGCCATATTCACCCTATTACACTCACCTTCTCTCTCACTGTCATACTTAGCCCCAGAATCCTGTCACTCCCCCAAGCCATACTCACTACCCTTCGCTCTGCTATATTAACCCTATTACACTCACCTTCTCTAGTATTGTCACACTCACCCCCCCCAATCCTGTCAATCTCTTTCTCCATCCCTCTGTCACATTCGCCCCCTTTCACCCTGCCACACTCTGTCAATTATTATTATTATTCTATAAATAGGACAACAACAAGAAAACTTACAGGAACGATAGGTTGAAGAGGACCCTGCTCAAACGAGCTTACAGTCTATAGGAGGTGGGTATGGGGGATGAGAAGGGCAATTTTCGCACAGAGGCCCCCATGGTTTCTAGTTTTGCCTCTGAATGACATAAAACATATTCTAAACTCATATGATATAATTTGGACGTAAACCACTCAATCAGTTAGATTTTTAACATTAGTGACTGAAATAGTAGTTGTAAATGAATACCGAACAACTGTCCTGGTAATAAATAAAGCCATTCACTCAGGCCTTTTCCAGACCCCATCCTGTAACTAGATTCCCTAATGGTATACACAGTTGGTTTATTTATAAACAGCCTTACATAACTTTTGAAGAATACTAGCCCCTGTTAATACTTAGCAGAGATCCCATCAATCTTCCATTTAGTGACCCTAAATCCCACTGTTTAAAGGGTTACTCTAACCCTTCCTTTTCCACAGTCCATAGTGTAGAATTCTCTAGTGGGTGTTGCTAACTACCCTCTGCCCAACCCCCCCTCACCCCTCCCCTATAAATGAGGAAATATTAATATATTCAGCTGGAATCCAGTAACGGGTGAACTTTCCAGTGCCGTTTTCCATGTTTTCACCCGTCATCACCAAAGCCCTTGCAAGGTCCAATCAAAGGCTTCTCATAGAGTAGCCTTTGATTGGACTGTTTTGTCAGCTGAGACACATGCGCATGCTCTGAGCCAGGCAGGCGGAGAGAGTAAGAAGGGAGTGAATTTTTTTGTAATTTAAAAAAAAAAAAAAATCAATGGCAATAGAGGGGGGGAGGGGGAGGTGAAGCTTCCCCTTGCAGTCTCCCTGCCCGAAAGTGAGAAGATGATTACACCTGTCGCTAGCACACAGTACCTGATGGGTATCCCTGAACAGGGGCCCAGTCAGCACCAGGGCTGTTTGGTTGCGCGACTGGGCCCCTGTATTATCAGATGCTGGGAGGAAATGACAGCCGGTGGAGGCAAAGAGCAGGGAGTGAGCTGCTGCAGACCACACAACAACCCCAGCCAGCAGCACTCCAAGCAAGCCACCAAAAAATGCAGGTACCAGGACAAAGACAAATTCCCAGAACCTGCTCACCAGTTGACACTCCAGAAGTGTCTAAGGGCTTAACCCTAACATACAACAATCAATTAAAATTGGCACATAATTCACAAAATGTGAATATGTGCTGTCTGGAATAAATGCTGTATCCAATTTAGTATAGTCTCAGTATGTATAATGTGTGACCAAGAATCACAATACAAAATAAAATAAAGTGACAATACAAGCCTTATAAGGCTACTCCTTAACCTAACCTGTTAATCTATAGCAGGGGTCCTCAAACTAGGTCCTGTACCCAGCCCAAGCACTCAGGGCCACCCGATTGGCCCTATATCTTCAAGGGCCCGGTCAGCACTTCGTCAGTACAATAGCGCAACCGGGCCCCTTTTAAAAAATCGCAGCTGCAAAGTAGTGCTGGGAATGACGGCCAGTGGTCACTTCCTCCCAGCTCGCTCCGCGCCAGAGGGAAGAGAGACAGGCTGCAGGAGCCACGCCGACTCCCATCAGCCACACTCCTGCAAAAAAAGGTAAGCAAAATTAGCTGTGTGTGTGTGTATGTCAGTATGTATGCATGTCAGTATATATTTATGTCAATATGTATGTGTCAGTATGTGTGTGTGTGTGTGTATGTATGTATGTCTGTGTATATGTATGTATCTGCATGTATGTGTATGTATTTCAGTCTGTATGTATGTCAGTGTGTGTGTGTATCTGCTGTGACCGAAAGCAAGGAATTGTGCTGGAGGTAATCTATATATCTCCCCAGATTTTCCTACTAGTAGGTTCCTACTTTGTGTAATTAGCCCCAAGGAAATGTGTTATGTTAAATTAACAATTGCACTTTAAATATGTGTATATTTGGGCCCTGGGTGGAGCACTTGGAGAGTAGGGTGGGCCAGTCCTCCACTCCACATTTTGGAAGTTGCTTGGAGCCTACAGGTGAGAAGTCCAGTTCCAGAGTTTTAATCCTAATTTAACTCACTTGAAAAGGATTATCAATTACAGGTGCTATTAAGTACTCCCCTGCCAAAGGAGGAGGGATATTGTGTTTGATTTCTGTGAGTGGAAACAGAGAGCTGAAAACCCTGAAACAGTAAGGTTGTTGTTTATGTTGGGAAATGGACAAGCCATCCAACCCAGTTAGCTAATTATTTTGTTTAGTTTAGTGCTCAGAAGAGCAAGGATTTTGTTTTATATATTTTGTTACAACCTTTTATACCTTACTGTGCATTTATTTTGGAACCACAATAAAAAGAGCAAGTCCTTTTACCTCATCCAGCGTGTGAAGTGTCTTTAAAGCCTGAAAAGACGGTGTGTGGTGACATTCTGTCATCAAATTAATATGGTGACCAGGGATCATGTGACCAAG